CAGTCTCTCTCTTAGCTTCAGGACCTCCGAACCCAAGGTTAGGGCATCATATCTTTTTCATTTTTTCCCAAACTTTCTCCCAAGTTCTTTATTTTTCTAAGGTTTTCAGTTATTATAGTCGACTATATTGACTATTAGTCGACTATTCCATCTCTAGGGAAGTCTACTCTTTGGGTAAGTTCTTTCAACTTGATCTTTTTAAGTTATTTTGAGTTATCATGTCTAGATCTAAGAAAGCTAAACAAATTCATTCCAACGTTGATGACGAAATCATTGTATACTTGAAAAATCCCAATTTGCATGAAGAATTTAAGAATATCTCATCTCTTGAAGTTCATTTGGGATGTTTCGTAAAATTTGATGATTTCATACCATACAACTTCGGTTCATATTTTGACAATGTTGGCTTGCTTGAGTTATTTTCATTAGAAAATAGAAAACCATATTATCCATTTTTAGTTCAACTCTTCTACACTAATATAGCTCATATTGAAACAATTAGGGGTTCTCAAAAATTATCTACACTTGTCAAGGGGATTGAGATTAAATTAACACCTAAATCACTTGGGAAAATACTCAATATCCCTTACAAAGGTGTATCTCTTAGTAGTATCAAAATGACAGATCAAAATTTCCTTTCAAATCACATCCTTCTCCCCGGTGAAGGAAAACCATTGAATCATTCCAACAAACTTACACTAATTCCTCGGTTTATTGCACGAATCATAGCATATAACATGTTTGCAAATACCGAGAGTTTTCATTTTATTTCCCTCGATTTAGCTAAACCCTTATATGCTATAATGGGAATATCCAAGTCAATTCAGCTAAAGTTTATTATGACAATCTTTTTGTTGTACCAAAAGGATTTCTTCCTTATAGTACATTTTTATCCAAAATTTTTGAAAATTTTCGTGTTGAAATTGACTCTGAAAACTCCGTGGTTCATTCCATTGAATTCTTTGATTCCAATGCCCTCACTAGAATAAAGTTGACAAATTTTGAACTTCATGAACCTAACCCACAAGAAGAACCACTCCCGCCTCAAGAAGATATTCCTCAATCTTCACATCAAGCACCCCCTTCCACAAGCCAAACACCACATCCACAAGTTGAACCATCTTCATGAACCTAACTACATGCTTTCTGCACGCATCCTCGATCTTGAAACTGGTCAACTAGCAATATATACTCAAAACTTAGGCATTTTGAGAAATCAAGAAGATATAAACAAAAAGTTAGATGACTTGGATTTGAAGATCAGTGCATATTTCCAAGGACATCCACCTCCTCTAGGGCCTTCATGCTAGAGGAGCATGCATGCATCTCATCTAGCAATTGTTAGACCTTAGAGGGGGGGTGATTAGGGTCTTATGCTAATCTAATCCGATTTAAATGCCAATTAAAACTAATTAATAAGTTATCCTAGCAAGTATGAAATACAACAAGAATATAAGCTAGGATAAGCAATATGAACAATGAGATATATCCTATATGATAGAGATATATGCAAGGATATATAAACAACACAAGGGTAAATAATCTAAACAAGATAGTGGATGAAATAGATAATGAGCTAATGACAATGGCGATATAAGATATGAACATAAATATGAATGAACGCCAAAGCACACTCAAACAAGTAATATGATCACGGCGTTCGGACCTTCCGTCCTACGTCTCCGCTCCCCACTCCCGGGGAGAAATCCACTATCAACCGGGTTTTCTACGTTCACCCGAATAACGTTTACACCTCACAGTATCGGTTTTCAACGCTCACCGATCAACGTCACTCCTCACACTCGGTTTCTAGCTCACCGAAAACCTCACTACACACTCGGTTTCTAGATCACCGAAAACCTCACTACATACTCGGTTTCTAGCTCACCGAAAACCTTACAACACTCACAATGTAACAAATATAAATTTGTTCTCTACAATAGATGAGAACACAATGAAAGCACAACTCAAAGTTATAATCTCTCACCACCCAACTATACTATGTATGAAAGATACAATAAGCTCAATGTGGGTGTGTGTGTAACAATGAGTAAATAAGATCAAATCAACTAAACTCAAGTATGAAATCTAGCTTAAGAACAATGATAATCAATCAAGTATATAAATGTAAAGCTAGAGTTTGAGTTTAGAAAACATCTCAATTTGATAACAAGAGATGGAGGGATGATAGTTGGAAGCGCAAACTTCAATAGACAATCTCCTCAAGCTCTTGTGGAATTTGATTCACCAAAACAAACTCTCAATTTGCTTAAAAGCTTTTTAAACACACTTAAACCAAACTAAAACCCTTGTTAAAAACTTTATTAAACTTGATTAAAAACTCTCTTAGTTAGTTTGAAAAGACATCAGCAATGGGGTATATATACCCACTCAAAGCTCAGCCAAAAACACCCAAAACAAAAGACCAAAAGACCCAGCCAACGGTACAAAAATTGTCGGTCGACCGAAAATTCCGTCGGTCGACCGATGAGAGCAAAAACACGAAGAAAACTTTCTGGACTAACGTCGGTCGACCGGAAATTCTGTCGGTTGACCGATTTGAGCTCTCGGTCGACCGGACCTGTCGACCGATGATTCTCTGGAAAAATACTGACGAATGATCAATTGACCGGTCGACCGTACCGATCGACCGAAAACTGACATTCCAGAAAAAATCGGTTTTAGAGCTGATTTTAAAACCCTGTTTAAAAATATCAAATAAATTCCAAAAAATGTAAAACTTTGGGGAATGATTGTAGACATGATAATAAACATGCTACAACGAAAATATCATCATTTTACAAACTAGTCTAAAACATGAAAATATGATGTACTTGTATTTTGATGTTTTGACATAAACCAACTTTTAAAACTTTGTGAAATGCTTTTATAGACTTAGTAAAACATGTATAAACTGATATTCAAGTCTACAAACTAAGAATACAATATTTTCACAAAATTGCATATTCTATGCAATATATTCAAAACACTAAATATGATTTCATTAAATATAAGCTCGTTAAAGATGAAATCATATATATACATATAAGCATGAAACAAAATAGTATTTTCCAATTCTATGCATTTGTTTCATATATAAGCCCGAAAACTATAAAACCAAAAACATATGTATATATATATATATATATATATCACTATATATATATATATATATGAAAACCAACATAATGTGTGTGTATAGATATTGAGCTTAATGTACTTAACACACATAATATAAATCCGAAACTAAATTACCCAAGCTAGATCTTGATCTTCAATAAGCTCTTCTAGGTAATCTCGCGGATGAAGCTTTAACTTGGATCTTGAACTTTGAATAGCAAGGCTTCACCGACATTCCGCCAACCTCCTTTGGATATGATCGTTGAAGCTCTATTCCATCCATCCTCCAACAACGTTGTTTGTCTATAATAAATAAGAAAACACAAATACTAGACAAACAACATTAGTGGTAAATTGTTTGTTAAACATCATCAAAACAAGAAGGCCAACAGCAATTTGATTAGTTTCATGTTTATGTTAAAAACTATATCATAAGTTAGTCTGTTTATTTATGTCAAAAACTATGTGGTAGTTTCTTAAGATTTATGTATTATACTTTATGCTTAGTATGATTTATGCATTAGTATGTTATGTTCATGAGCTAAATATTCTAAACAGATTATAACGATGGAAGTTATTGAACTATTGGTCTTTATGACAAGTCTTTGCTTACCCATTTGGATGGGTGAAGAAATGGACTATGTTCATAATTTGGATGACCTATTTGAAGTGTTAGCTTATGAAGAAGAAATACTTGCATGTTTAAATTAAATGTTCAATTCTTTTTTCTAATGACAAAGGGGGAGAAAATATTGAAATATATGAATTTCAGTGACTCTTATATGCTTTTATGTAGTGGGAGTAAGTGTGACGCCCCTAGGTTCACACAAGGCTGCAGTCCAAGGTGAAACCAAGGATGTCAAACCTGCCATGC